TTTACATTTTGCAAAGTCACACTTACATAGCTAAATTAACATAGCAAAATTTTATTTCCTTTTAATTTCTATTTCAATTCAACCCTTTTTTTTTAACTAATGCAAATTCTTTTGCATCACTTTTGCATGGTCTAGAGCACATGTACTTGTTGTGCTATAGTCTTTATTTTCCACCACATCTATAGTTTGACGATTGTAAGGAGGGGAGTTGCCAGCATCAAAATCAAGATCGGATGAATCAGGAAGTTAAATAGCTGAGCTGCCGTGGGTGAATGCCTATGGGTTAATCCCAGGAATATGCTCCACCAATGATGTTCTCCAGTCTTTGCCACTTTTGTAACGATGTTTTTTATCTCTGCTGTGTCGTGTTTCACTTGCCACAGCATGCGACGTGAAGTAGCATTTACTTTTTCCATCATTTGTTCAATATCCGGATGATAGAGCATTTTCTGGAGGATATTAATGTCCATGCCTATTTGTAGTTTAGGCACCTCATGATATAACATATATTTATCCACGATCAATTGCATGGTGGTCACAGGAGTAGTGTACCTAAACTACTAAAGTCACATCCTATTATTTTAGTAAAACTGCAAACACAGAAGTTAGTACCATTAGTTAATTCTTTACAATTATCAATTGTTATACTTATGCAAGGTGTCCTGATGCAGGCACATCTCTTACTCATTTAATACACTTGGGATTGTGTCTGTGTATTTGGGAACATTTCAAATGTACATACACTATCTTCTGTATCTAAACATAAACCCTCATTCTCTATTATAGCATTTTCACACATATATCCTAGTTCTTTTTTAGGTATACAGGCCTTCGTGTTGACAGTTTGCCACCTCCCCGTGTCCTTGTCATAGCTTGCCCAGACATTATGCCCTATAGGTCTAACTACAATGTCCCGGTGTATTGCTCCTAATGCTAAGACAGGAAATATGGTCTGTTCTTTTGCCTCATGGATGGTAAGAACATATGCCTCTATCTGCTCCTGCCCTTTGTTATATGTGAGGTTTACTAACTGCCACCATGCCTGATGTTCTTTTTCAAATTTGCTTGTGGTGTCTTGTCTGGATATGATCTCTCTTATCTCTTGAGGTAAAATTCTTGATGTTCCTTCTCTTATAATTCCTGCAGATACAGATTGTATCCATTGCTGAGTTTGGATACACTGTATTGCTACTGAAACATTTTTTGTAATTTTTTAAAGACATTAGTCACAACCTGAAAATTTTTAGATGTGTGTTCAGTTAACAAGATCATCAAATCTGTAGTAAGAGATTCTGTTTCAGCTATAGTCATTAATGATGATCTGAGTGGTACTTCCAGCTTTCCCAAATCAGAGGTTACAGTGCTGAGTTTATTAATTAACATTTCTTGATCTATTGAATTTAATACTCTTAGCCCTGATCCAAACCATCCCATTACATCTCTCTGGGCTCTTTTATGATGGGAATCTACTTTTTAACTAAGCAATCCATCTTTTAAGACTTTGGAGAATGAAAGGTTCGTAATCCTCTTTTATAGAGGATATGTTTGTTTGTATTTTTACTTGGACCTTTTTCAGAGAATATGTAGGGTCCAAGAGTAACTTCTGCTCATTAGATTGTCTAATTACATAAGGTCCTACAAGGGAAAGATTATGATTTCTTTTTGTACATTCTGAGGGTGTATGTGATGAAGGAGTGGGAGTCTGTGTTGTTGCTGTTGTTGTGGTG